GACAAGGTGCACAATCCCGTGCGCCTGCCACGCGAAACGGAATCCGAACGTCCAAAAGTGGCGCGAACATGTTGTGTTTATAACATTTTGACTTCGAAATGTGCTTCGCGCCACAACGGCGTGCACTTTTTCGACATCGCAACCTCGAAAAGTGGTCCGGAGCTGGTGTGTTTTATATATGTTGTGCTTCGCGCCACAATGGCGTGCACTTTTTTAGACATCTCAACTTCCAAAAGTGGTCCGAAAGTGGTGCTTTTAGCTTTTTCATTTACATATGTGCTTTGCGCCACAACGGCGTGCACTTTTTAGACATCTCAACTTCAAAAAGTGGTCCGAACGTTGTGCTTTTAAAATTTTCATTTGCAAATGTGCTTCGCGCCATAAAGGCGTGCACTTTTTAGACATCTCAACTTCCAAAAGTGGTCTGAACGTGATGTTATTAGCTTTTTCATTAGCAAATGTGCTTCGCAGCACAACGGCGTGCAATTTTTCATCTCTCATCTGGATAGATGGCTCCGCACCCGCCGCTTTAGCGAGCCTACTTTTCGACCCTCTGGAGCCACAAGTTAGATAAACGCAGTGTTTCGCGACTTTCCTACCTTTTCGCACACCTGCATCTTCTTTCTTCTGACTCTTTCTCTTCTCTGAGCTTCTCTCTTCTGCTCTTCTCTCTTCTGCTCTTCTCTTCTCTATTCTTCTGCTCCACCTCTGCTTTTCAACTGTCCATATTGTCGGAAGTTTGACTTCTAAACTTCCTTCGATTAGTGTATATTATAGTTAATATTATGATATAGTTAGGACATGTTAATTATTATGGTTAATATTCTAGTTAATACCATAGTTTATAGTCAATGGATGTTCATGGGCTTTGTAGACCAACTTAAACCTGGAACACCTGGTAGCCTGGCACCCTGGCATCCCTGGGACCCTTGGCAGCCGTTGAACAATTTCGCCAGGCCGAGCCTAAGCTTGATGGGAAACACGTGGTCTTCGGTCGCGTCATCGAAGGCATTGACAAGCTCTCTAAGGCCCGTTGATCCCGCTGCTCGTGGTGCTGGCGCTGGGATTCATGGGATTTTTGCAACAAGATTGACAACTATGAGAATTGAGTGGATATCTAATGGGAATCTAGTGGGAATCAAGTGGGATATGGCTGTCTACAAGGATGGTGCCCCCAAACGTTACGTTGTCTAGTGTAGAATTCCTTTTAATTATGCGTGTTTCATCAACACAAACCCAACCGAAATTCTAGTTCAAAACAGTTTAGCATAACTTAGCTAATCACCGGGGGCACCACCTTGTGGGGATCTAATCATATGGTCATATTCTATGAGATATGATGATATATGATGATATATGATGATATATGGTGATACATGATGATATATCATGATATATGGGGGATGAACTACCAAACATGCTTCTAGAAATGCAAAAAAAATGGTTGCTTGAGGGTTGCTTGGGTTATTGTAGGGCGTGTAACTACTTCTTCCTTTTTGAGGCCCTTATATTCGCATTTCCAGGCCCCTTTGGTATCGCGATTTGGCGCGGGTTCAAGGGATATTGAAGGAGCTCATGTGACTTGAGGGCAAGTGAGTCTGATGCTGGAATGGTAGACAAAATCATCCCTAGAGCGTTGATCAGAAACTGAAGCTTAAAATCCATGATCCCTACATGAAACACCAGCTGCTTCCGCAGCCTTTTGGGTTTGGTCCAGGTGGTTGTTGGATTTGTTGCTTATTTGACTGTCCGATGACCACTGAGAAGACACGGAATGCCTTGAAGAAGACCTGCCTCTGCAAGTGTCCTGGCATTTTTTGGACTGGTTTTCTAGTATTTTGCAAAGTTTCACTGCTAGATGTGTAAGTCAACAATCGTTTCCGTGACGGTTTGAGCGAAGGTATGCCCTCTCCGGTGCGTGCTTCAGAGGAAGTGAGTGCACCTTTGCACATTCCGAAGCCGAATTGCGTGAGGTGCCCGACCTTCAGGGCACGGAGCCGTGCTTCAATTTTGCGAAAGGTCGATGTTACAAAGGCTATCGTTGCAACTTCTCCCACGGCCAGCAAAAGTTCCGCACGAAACAGGCGGTACTTGCAAGGGCCCAGATGAAGGAGACAGTCGCAGCAAACCTAAAGGTTCTGGAAAAGACATCAGAGAACTTTGAGATGATGAAGCTCCGGTCGCTGCAGGCGGCTCAGGCGCTTCAAGGGACGGTGGATGAACTCGAGATGCTGCAGGTCTGTCTGATGATGCACCAGACGGCTTTTGACATCGGCCTTCCTCTCCAGGATGGCATTCAACATGGTATCCAGCAGGGTCCTCCTGGGTTGCCCGGAGGTCCTGCTGGGTTGCCGCCTGGGTTGCCACCTCCATCAGTTGGTGACTCTGGCTACCCATCCACGGGACAGTCTTCAGCGTGTTGGACTTCCTCTGAGCCGGCGAGCATTTTCCTTTGATAACACTGTTAGTAGGACAGTTGCATCACCCCCAGATCTCAAAGAACAATTGAATTCTGAAACCTTCGCAATGCTTTGATATCTATCCGTCTGACAGTCCAACTACAGCCCCAGGTGTTATATTGTTTTCTTCTTTAGATTAAGGGGGTGATCATGAGGAGCTGTCAATCGAACTTCTTTGTTAGAGGTGGTGTGTAATCTTGCAACACCCCAGATGCAATCAACATTTCCGAAGGGAAAACTGCGGTTTCTGACGTTTGCTGACTGCCATCGTCGTGTTCGGATGTTGACACTGCTGATTTTGTATCCCTCCACAAGCAAACGCTGTTATGATCAGCCATGAAACTCTTGGGCCGTGTTCGAATGAAAAAACTTTGCAGGCCTGATTATATTAAATTAACATGAATTAAACATAATTAAACGCCTTCATAAGCGATGTAAGCCTGCCAACTCTGACTAAAACGCGGTTGTTTTTTTTTTGCATGTTTGAACACCACTCATGGCAGTATTGCGCAATAGGATCCACCCTCCCCAAGGGTTTATCACGAAAGGTAGCTCCAGAGGGGCTACCTTGAGTTTTACTTTACGAAGTAAAGGGGAGGGCGGCCAGCCCCGTTACCTGATTCTTCAGGAGATTGCTAGTCATTTTAGTACCCCCCCCCCTCCACACCTCCCACGCACCCTAAGAGCAGACTCAAAACATTGTAATTTACAGTATTTTTGTTCTTTTCGGATCAAGAAACCACATTTTGCTACATGGTGAAACCTCCGTAAATACCAGTGTTTTTGCTAGGTGCTGGCCAAAAAACACTGTAAATACCGTGCTTTTTACTACCAGAGGCAAAAAACATCGTAAATACCGTGGTTTTGGGCTTCCGACCCGCCAAAAACATTGGCATTTACGGTGTTTTTTGCTCCGAGCGATGCAAAAACACGCGAAAACACCACCGATTTGACGATTTTCGGCCACTACGGAACCGAGCAAAAACGCTGCAGGGGTAACACCAACACCGACAAGAACAACAGCAACAGCAACAGCAACAACAACAACGACGACAACAACAACAACAACAACAACACAAACAACAACACCAACGCACAACAACAACAACGCACAACGCACAACGCACAACGCACAACGCACAACGCACAAAGCACAACGCACAACGCACAACGCACAACGCACATCACACAACACACAAAACACACACAACACACACACACACAACACACACAACACACACACACACAACACACAACACACAACACACAACACACACAACACACACACACAACACACATACAACACACACACACACAACACACACACACACAACACACACAACACACGCAACACACACACACACAACACACACACACACAACACACACACACACAACACACACAACACACACAACGCACACAATACACACACACACAACACACACAACACACACAACACACACAACACACAACAACATATAACAACACACCACAACGCACAACAACACACCACAACACACAACAACACACAACAACCACAACAACCACAACAACCACAACAACCACAACAACCACAACAACTACAAAAACAACGAATGACAACAATAACAACAACAACAACAACACACAACAACACACAACAACAAACAACAACACACAACAACACACAACAACACACAACAACACACAACAACACACAATAACACACAACACACAACAACACACAACAACACACAACAACACACACAACAACACACAACAACACACACACAACACACAACCAACAACACACAACAACACACCACAACACACAACAACACACAACAACACACGCAACACACAACAACACAACAACACAACAACAACACACAACAACACACAACAACACACAACAACACACACACAACAACACAAACAACACACAACAGCACACCACAACACACCACAACACACACAAGAACACACAAGAACACACAAGAACACACAACAACACCACAACACACCACAACACACAACAACACACAACAACACACAACAACACACAACAACACACAACAACACACAACAGCACACAACAACACACAACAACACACAACAACACACAACAAGACACAACAACACACAACAACACACAACAACACACAACAACACACAACAACACACAACAACACACAACAACACACAACAACACACAACAACACACAACAACAACAACAACAACACCATCAGCAGCAGCAGCAACAACAACAACAACAACAACACGAACACAACCAATACCAACACCAACAACACGACCAACACCACCAACAAACCCAACCACACCAACAACACTAACAACACTAACAACACCAAAAACCTTACCACCACCAACAACACCAACAACACCAACAACACCAATACCAACAACACCAACAACACCAACACCACCAGCACCACCAACACCACCAACACCACAACCGCCACCAACCCCAACCACATCGCCGAAGCCTTTCATTCGCTTTTACCAGACTCCCCTTCATATTTTTGGAAAGAAACTGGCCGCGTCGCTTTTACCAGACTCCACTTTATGTTTTTTCTTCGCTTTTACCCTGCCCTCTCCCCTTCATTTTTTCTTCGGTTCCTTTCTTGCTTACCTACCTTTCGTGTTCCCCCTCTCAAGTCATTTTTTTGGGTCCCGGTGGTATGCACCACCAATACATGGGTGGTTAATGACATTGCTTTACCAACTGTAGCCACGTTACCCTGGGACGTTACGGAACGAATCGTTCGCTGCGCCAACGCCCTATGGCCCCACGCGCGCTCAGCTCGAGTCGATGGGCACCAAGGGAGGCACTCCACTCTTTGAGGCCGGGGGACTGTCGGACGGGGAATTGTTGTGCCAGAGGGGCCGGGATTCGAACAGACATGGCTTGTGGTCAATTAGGGAAAAGATGACACACACACACATATATATATTATATACATATTATTGGATACCAGATATTGACATTCTGGGTTACATAGCATGATATAGCAAACCAATTTTTCGCATGATACATTTTGGTATTTTGATTGATCAATGATCGGTGTTCAGTTTATCCACCATTGCACCCATCATTTCTGGTATCTATAGGTATCGCACCGTTTGAGCTGATTCATCAACACTTGTTTACATTTAAACAGAAACAGAATTCTCTGATTATGCACAGGCGCCAGCTTTGGAGCGTTTTGGGCTGCTACGCAGGTACTATGTTTCGATTTGTTTGCTTTGGAAAAAGAGCAATTCTTGCCTGCTAGTTTCTTTTCTAATGGTAAAGTCACAAGTCTTGCTATTCGTACCCCCATGTTTGTTGGGTACTCTCTGGTGATTTACCAGTTTGCTATGGAACATCACCATTTTTGATAGGTAAATCATGGAACTAAACGTGCCATGTTAAATTACCAGAGGGCAGTCCATTCTAAACCACTACTATCCCAATTATCATATTTTAAACCATTATAAACCCCATTCTCCAATTTTTGTGGTGGTTCAGGCCAGTCACCATTTCGGCGTGTGAAATCCTCACCATTTCTGCTGGTCAAGTCACCGTTTCTGCTGGTTCAGTCACCATTTCTGCCGGTTAAGTCAGTATTTCTGCCGGTTAAGTCACCATTTCTGCCGGTTAAGTCACAATTCCTGCCGGTTGAGTCACCATTCTTGCCGGTCAAGCTTCTATTTCTGCCGGTTAAGTCAGTATTTCTGCCGGTTAAGTCACCATTTCTGCCGGTTAAGTCACAATTCCTGCCGGTTGAGTCACCATTCTTGCCGGTCAAGCTTCTATTTCTGCCGGTTAAGTCAGTATTTCTGCCGGTTAAGTCACCAAGCTGCCGGTTGAGTAGTCAGCTGGTTAAGTCCGCCCATTTCTGCCGGTAAAGTCACAATTACTGCCGGTGATCTGAGTCCAACCATTCTTGAACGGTCAAGTCTTCTTCTATTTCGGTTTTTTAAGTCAGTATTTCTGCCGGTTAAGTCACCATTTCTGCCGGTTAAGTCACAATTCCTGCCGGTTGAGTCACCATTCTTGCCGGTCAAGCTTCTATTTCTGCCGGTTAAGTCAGTATTTCTGCTGGTTAAGTCACCATTTCTGCCGGTTAAGTCACAATTCCTGCCGGTTGAGTCACCATTCTTGCCGGTCAAGCTTCTATTTCTGCCGGTTAAGTCAGTATTTCTGCTGGTTAAGTCACCATTTCTGCCGGTTAAGTCACAATTCCTGCCGGTTGAGTCACCATTCTTGCCGGTCAAGCTTCTATTTCTGCCGGTTAAGTCAGTATTTCTGCCGGTTAAGTCACCATTTCTGCCGGTTAAGTCACAATTCCTGCCGGTTGTGCGGTCAAGCTTCTATTTCTGCGGTTAAGTCAGTATTTCCTAAGCCGGTTAAGAGTTGAGCACCATTCTTGCCGGTCAAGCTTCTATTTTGCCGGTTAAGTCAGTATTTTCTGCCGGTTAAGTCACCATTTCTGCCGGTTAAGTCACAATTCCTGCCGGTTGAGTCACCATTCTTGCCGGTCAAGCTTCTATTTCTGCCGGTTAAGTCAGTATTTCTGCCGGTTAAGTCACCATTTCTGCCGGTTAAGTCACAATTCCTGCCGGTTGAGTCACCATTCTTGCCGGTCAAGCTTCTATTTCTGCCGGTTAAGTCAGTATTTCTGCCGGTTAAGTCACCATTTCTGCCGGTTGAGTCACCATTCTTGCCGGTCAAGCTTCTATTTCTGCCGGTTAAGTCAGTATTTCTGCCGGTTAAGTCACAATTCCTGCCGGTTGAGTCACCATTCTTGCCGGTCAAGCTTCTATTTCTGCCGGTTAAGCCACCATTTTTGCTGGTTAAGTTACAGAACGGCAGCCCCTGGGAGTGCAGTTTTCCCATGATTTAAGTTGATGAAATGTTTTACTGATGTTTTAGTGCTCCCAAAGGCACTTTGACAGCTTTGCCTGTGATTCATGATAGCTTCCTTGAAGTACCCCACACTTGTTAAAAACCTTGGAAAAACAAAAAAACACAAAAAACACACAAAAAAAACAAAC